TAGTTTCGTCCGATTTCATGTAAATGGTGCACCAAAGTCCCTATATATTTTTCGATTTGCACCAAATTTGGCATAACGTACTGAATTGAGCGTAGAGTGATGTCTGCCAAAAATCGGTCCACATTTAGATATCGCTCCCATATATAGTATCGTCCGATTTCAGGTAAATGGTGCATAGAGTACTGAATTTAGTCCAGACTGATGTGTGCCAAGTTTCGTGAAAATCGGTCCAGATTTAGATATAGCTCCCATATATAGCTCCCATATATAGTTTCGTTGGAAAACGCACAAATAATCCTCAAAATCCAAATCTTATATGGGGGTTACCCTAAATAATGGACCAAAATTGGTAATTTTTGGTAAGAATATGTGCTGCACAATGCGAACCTAAAATACCAAATTGCAATGAATTTGGTTGAAGGTGAGACTTAAATCTTTCATCAGCATGCTATGTTATTAATTGCCAATTATAATTTATTATTATTATTATTTTTCTACCCTACACAACTATTTTGTCAGGGTATTATAGCTTTGTGCAGCCCCAAAAGTTTGTAACGCCGCGAAATATATCTCGACTAGCTGAGTCGATCTAGACATGTGTCTAGTCTGTCCATTAGAATTTGTAAACACGATACAGGCCACAATTATGGACCAATCTTCACGAAATTTAGCATGTAGGTTGGGTTCTGGCCAATGAAGACCCCTATTGTTTTTGGGAAAGATCGGTTAATATTTAGGGGATGAAATGGGCCAAATACTAAATTGTTGTCGGTTTTTCTGGTGGCTCCAGAGGCCGCAATAATGGCCCGAACTTAGTGAAATTTTCCATGGAGAAGGGGATCGGGCCAAAGAATAAGCATGCCTGTTTTCATAAAGATCGGTCAATATTTAGGGGGTTTAATGGACTCTGACTTCTGTGTGAAAAATGACAAAATTTGTATTCTATAGCGTATATATTTACCCCTGAAGGACATAGACCCGAGAAGTTTATATTATATCCAAGAGGAGTGGTTGACCTTTAAATTAATACCAATTATATTGTTGTATGTGCCCGGATGTGGGAGTTAGACCTAAATATTTACAGGTATCTCCGTATTCGTATATTAGTAGGTAACCCATTATCACGGAACTATAGCACTAATCGCTTTGAAATGTTCCATGAGGTTTCAGTTATGGTCAAGTACAACGCCTATAATAGATGGTGATGATCAGATAATAATTTTGGAATGAAGTGGACCGAAAACTTAATTCTTTGTGTTATTTTCGAGTCGATCTATAGACCACAAGTGAAAGCCGAACATCAGAACACAACCCACGGTGAAGGGAATCTGGACAATAGTTGTACTGAATACTCGTAATATTCGGAAAATATGTCAGTGTGAGGAAAAGGTTCTGTTTACCTCTAATCGGGCAAGAGGGTGCAAATATCACGAAATATTGTCCAGGCTCGGAATAAACATTCGCAGAAAATTTGAGTTCCGTGGTAGTTGTGTAGGGTATCGTATGGTCGGCCCGTCCGACAATACTGCTCCTCTCACTGGTTATTTATTTATTTATTATTATTTTTTTTTTTTTGAAATTTCCAACGACTATTTTTAAAATATTGGCAATAACTCTTAAGTTTATGAACGGTCGCAAACATCTGGATAGATATATCCTCTGGCACTATTTGGCACTAGGTTCTGGAACTCAAATATTAAAAAAAATAATATTAATGAGTTTTACATACGAACTTTTTTATGATTATCTTCTAATTACTAATAATTTTCACTTTCGTTATAATCAACAGTTCCATGTCTTTAATGTCTCATCATTTCATGTAAATATTTTTGCCCATAGTGAGTCTGTCCAATTGATTCGAAATAAAGTTCATTAATTCGGTTTAGATTTATATATAACACATATAATGTTGTCCAATTTGATTTTAATGGCACACCAATGACGCCACTTTCGTCCAAACGACCCGAAATTTTAACCCTTTGAGCCCCAAATTTTTTTCCGTAATCATAGAACAATGTTCTGCTCACAGATTTAATGCAACTATCCTAAATAGGATATGGACGAAATTTGACATCGCTATATCCTTGCATTCGGGAGATACGGTACATTCTTTCTGAAAAATAAAAGTCCAATATCAACAAAGTCAAATGCAGAATTGACGAAAAAATTATTATAAATTATTCTCTATATTCTGTTTTAAAAGAATCAAAAATAATTCCGATAATAGAATTCGTACATTTCGAATACGAAGCGATTTAAATAATTTGGACTGTATACACAAATTAGTACTGTACACATTTTTGGCCTCTTTTCTGTATTAAAAGGCTCATAACTTTACCAAAAATTTTTGAAATTTTTAGATTTTTCTTGTGATATGTGTCGTCCATAATCAGGTCTTGACATAGGAAATCCAAAGAATGGATATCTACTAGCTGTATAATAAATATAAGCTTTAAAACATTTTGTTGCCAGTGGGCAACAAAGGGTTAAATAACGCTTCTTATACGGCTTCGAAAAGAATACCGGAGCACAAAAGATATGTTTATTGTCAGAAATCTTAGGACTAAATATTACAAAAAATTTCAAAATTTTCATAATTCTATCATGATTTCGAATTTCCACAAATAATATCATATCTCTAAATTAATATGTATCGTCATTATTGGGGATTGGGTTTAGAAATCAATCATTAGAATATTGAGAAATTGTTCATAACCTAACCTAAATTGTCATAAATTCTCAAGCTACAAACATTCAACATTAATTTTGTTGTATATGTATATATACGTACTTGTAAATCGTTAATATCTCCAAATAATTGCGATCGTAAATTCTCAATATCTGTTTGACTTTATATTCAATTTCAGAAAAAAATATTTTATTTGATTTGTTATGTTTTGAAATTCAATTAGGTTATAATAAATTTCACTGGACACAAAATGTAAGCTCAGTAGTTTTATTTATTACATTTAAAGATATATTATAACCGAATAGATCCCTACGCTTTTTTTCCTCCTCTTCTTCTTCAAATTTCAATATGTATTTTCACACTCACTTTAAACACTCTCAAATTCACTTCTTCTTCCTCTTCACTTCTTTCACAAAATTGCACTCCAAACATTCTTTAAAATTACTTCCTTGCCTTTGGCGATTTTAATTTCACCTATTTTTACTTTATTCTATATTCTATTTCACACGACTGATTATCTTTTTTTTGGGTTTTTTCTTTAGCAATATATTTTTGTGCTTGATATTCTTTTTTCAAAACTTCACTTCACAATTGAATTTATTTGACATTATTTTTTGTTGTTGTTATTGTTATTATCACTTTGATTTTGTTTTTTTATTATTCCTCACACAGTCACACACAGAAGTACAAATCCATATGTACTATGTATATTTATATGTAAACACAAAACAAAACATGTCAATGCGAAAATGAATTGATTCGAGTATTTCCACGACTATCCGTTTCCGTTGAAAGTCCCGTTGTGACTGAGCCGTTATGTTGTTTTGCATCAATCGTCTGCATGTCCTTTCGGAAATTCTGTTATCGAACGAATACGAATGTTGATGTTGTTGTGATTTTGTGGGTGGGGGGAGGGTATGTGTGCGCGTGTTATCTGTAAAGGCGATGTCTGTTAAGCTGTAACAGTGAACATTTTTGAAAGTAACGGTCAGATGTTGGTTAACATAACATTGTTAGAGGTTGGCAACGCTGATGTCTTTCATATGGTGTAGGGTTTACAGTAATGCTACAAATATTTTTTGAGAGACTACAGGCAGTTCCTTGTAGTGAATAATAAATGAAATTAAACATACGATTTGAGATTTCGTGTCAATTGAACAGACGTAGGCTGGACATTTCCTTTAATTTGGTTCATCGAAATAATCATTTCCGACCCTATAAAATATATTCTTGATAAGTGTGAAATTAAATGACGATTTAAGCATCTCGGTCTGTCTGTCTGTTACGTATAACACGTATAACACCGCATCCGACCACATACAAAATATAATTGTTGTCGACTTAAAGTTCAGCCACTCCTCTTGGATATACTATCAACTTCTGTGGTCTATGTCCTTCGGGAGTAACAATATACGCACAGAATAAAGATTTTGTAATTGTTCACACAAAAGTCTGGGCCCATATTATTCAGACTCCTTTTTATACCCTCCACCATAGTATGGAGGGTATATTAATTTTATCATTCCGTTTGTAACTCATCGAAATATTCATTTCCGACCCTATAAAGTATATATATTCTTGATCAGCGTACAATTCTAGGACGATCTAGCCGTGTCCGTCCGTCTGTTGTAATTACACTATCTTCTCAAGGAATTGAGATAGGGTGCTGAAATTTTGCATAGGTTTTGCATAAGATTGGATTAAGGTTTAAGCTTCGACTGTGCTTCTACCAGAAAGCCATAATTTGAAAGGTCTTGAAATCCACCCACCTTCCGATTTAGGGTAAATTTTTAATTACCCATCACTCCTAAACTATTCGATTCCTCATCTAATCGGTTCGATAAGCGTCTACTGCGGGAGCATTATTTCAAATGTCTGTATTTTCAAGTTTCCGAAAACATTCAAGAACCATTCTATTTACGGCCATTTTTAATTCTATTAGCGGAACATAATTTAGGAGGTCATGAAGTCCTTCCTTTTCCATAAAATAATTAAACAGATATATCCGAAACACTTTCCATTGTTTCATTTCCAATAGGTTACCACAATTAAATATCTGTTGGCAACCCTTAAAACAACTGTTGTAATAATATCACAACTATTGTGAATAAACAATTAAAAACAGCTGAGCCTTGTCTGGTTTGCTTTCGTCTCATCCGTAAACACTAAATACAAGCAACTACTTCACATGCTCATTTCAGAGAATCGCTGAATTGAACGGTCTCATTCGTGCACTGAACTCTTCTAGAAACAAACAAATCGAACGCATTCCAAATCCCTCTCAGAAATCCGTATTCCCCACCATTAAATTATGGCCCACTACAAAGGAGCTGCCAGTGAAGCTGGGCGTGCTGCCCAGCTGATGAAGAAACGTGAAATCCAACAGCAGGAAATTGAATTTCGCAAAAAGAAAATCGAAGAGGAGCTGAAGCTGGACAAAATTGAAAATAAATTCGCGACCCATTATGATGCCGTGGAACAGCAGCTCAAAACCTCAACCATTGGTTTGGTTACCTTGGATGAGATGAAAGCCAAGCAGGAGGACATAGTAAGGGAACGGGAAAAGAAATTGGCACAGAAAATCGATGAGAAGGAAAGGGAAAAGCAACGGGCCTTGGAGGCAATACAGGCGGAGAAGAATAAACAAAAGAAACAGATCAAGACATTGTCTTTCAGTTTCAATGATGATGAGGAGGAGGAAGAAGATGGGGATGATGACAAGGATGAGGAAGACGAAGAGAAATTGGAAATCAAACCTGAGCAGCCAAAGACAGAAAAAAAGAAATGGACCGATTTGAAACCGGAAGATTTAAAAGTTGTACCCAAAAAAAGAATTTGCAAAAATCCAGATGTTGACACCAGTTTCCTGCCCGATCGTGATCGTGAGGAAGAAGAAAATCGCCTGCGAGAACAATTACGCCAAGAATGGGTAATGCAACAGGCTGCCCTGAAGGACCAGGAGATAACCATCACCTTCAGTTACTGGGATGGTTCTGGCCATCGTCGCAGTGTTGTCATGAAAAAAGGCAATTCCATTTATCAATTCCTACAAAAATGCCTCGAAGTTTTACGCAAAGAATTCAATGAATTGAAAACCGTGATGGCCGATCAATTGATGTATGTCAAGGAGGATTTAATATTACCCCACCATTATACATTTTATGATTTCATTGTCACCAAGGCCAGAGGTAAATCTGGGCCGCTATTTCAATTTGATGTTCACGATGATGTCCGGCTGATAAGTGATGCCTCTGTCGAAAAGGAAGAATCACATGCCGGTAAGGTACTGCTGCGTCAATGGTACGAAAGAAATAAACACATATTCCCTGCTAGCCGCTGGGAACCATATGATCCCACCAAATCCTATGATAAGTATACCATTAAGGATAAGAAGAAGTAGACGAATGATGATTTGAATAATAAAAAAAATTAAATAAAGGTGACCAAGTACAAAAGTTTTATTTTTAAGAAAATATGTTTTGTGTTCCTTTTATTTTGCGATAAGAGATGAGATTTTTAAAGCCATTTATGAGATCTTTTAGAAATAGAAGTCCTCTTCTAGCTATGAAAGACATTCAAACGAAGCTTTATAGCCAGCTTTGGTCTGCATAAATCCCCTACAATGTATTCTAAATATAGAAAGCCAATTAACGGCCTAGAAAATGTCTTATGGGTATGGAAGACCATCAAATATGGTTCAAGCCTTAGAAATCTCAAAAAGGCCTTTCAGCTTTATTAGACATACAAAAGGTCTTATAGATATAGAAGGCCTTCGAAGGAGGGTTCCAGCTGCAGAGGACCCATAAATGAACTCTTGTGTATATACTAACCTCAAGATGTAGATCTCTTTCAAAATGCCTATACGATGTGATCTTATAAGGAATAGAAGGTCTTCCCGCTTCCTAAGGCCTTAGCCTTCTTCAAAGAGCTGGAAGTCCTTTAAAATAGCTTCTAGCTATAGATGGCTTCAAAAAGTCTCCTACCTATAGAACCCCTTCAAAAGAAATTTTAGCTATAAGAGACTATAGGATTAGGCAGATATATAAGAATGTTGATCTACAGCTGCAAGCCTTAAAAGAGCTTCTAACTATGGAAGACCTTCAAAAGGGCTTCTAGCTATGGCAGACCTTCAAAAGATGATCTATCTACAGAAAGCCTTCAAAATAAGATCGATATATATGAACAATCTTCGAAAGGTCCTCCAGCTGTAGGTCACCATCAATGCTTGGTCATTGAGGAAAGACCTTCAAAGGGGCTTCATATCGATCTTTACATATACAGCAGTCTTTATCTTCGGCTTGAGATTAGTGGAGTGAAACTCTGGTATTTTCGGATCATTGACATACCTATCGTAGAAACGAGCGTTAGAAGTTTTTGTAGCAGCCCTACCGTTTTTTTCAAAATGGACTGAGGTGAGAGTTGTTGGCCGAGTGAGATCCGGATCAAGGACCCCACTATCTTGGAATCGATCCTTAGGATTTTTTGCAGCAGCCCTACCGTTTTTTTCACACAATGAAATATCTTCAAAAGGTCTTCAAATCGATTTTCGCATATACGGCAGTTTTAAACTTCCGCGTGAGATCAAGAGGAGACTCGAGACGTTTCGGATCATATACACCAAGTTGTTGTAGCATCCCTACCGTTTTTTTTTCACAATAGACTGAGATGAGAATCGTTGACCGAGTGAGATTCGGACATAGAAACCAGTGTTGTGGAAACGAACCTTGGGAGTGTTTTTGTGAAATCTATCGTTACAAGGACCATTTGAAGTCATATATTCAGGCGTGGAACATTTAGTTGGTAGCTACCAAAAGGTGTGGATCGATCGGTCTCATCTTTGGGTACAAAAGCTTTACGGAGTACAAATCTTATAAGAAATCTGTCATATCGAATATTTCAATCGGTTTTATAAATCTTGGTCCCTTGTGCGGAACGTACCAGAAGAAGCGTTCCAATATTTCTTATATTCGAACATGATTTAAGCTTAAAAGAAATATTACGATGTATAAAATTTGGATCAAATCGGCCACTCCCTTCGAGAGTTACTTATTTGTTTATTTACGAATTTGGTCCACTTGGGTCTGAATCCGATATTTCGATCAGGCACGTAGCATTTTGTGGGACTTCTGAAGCGTTTGTCAATCTTTAAAGATGGTTAATTGGATCTTTGGCGGTATCCACTTAAATATATGTCTTCTTCAGCTCTTAAATGAACCAGACCTGCGCCTTTTCTATGACCTCCATTTTGAGAAAGCTCCCCATTTTTATTGGGAAGAAGATCTTTAGCCATTTTATGAGGAAGAAGACCTTCAGATTTTCTATAAGAGTGAAGATGTCCTGCACTTGTATAAGGAAAAATACATCTACCTCTTTTAGCTATGATAGGGCAATACCAATAGCTTTTCTATTTTCTATGAAGAAGAATATCTATAGATCTTTGATCAAGAAGACCCACAGCTATTTCCTGAAAAAGATATCCAGTTATTCTATTAGGAAGAATAGCTCCGGCATTTCTATATTGAAGACCTTCAGCTATATCTTTTCATTTCAATATAGATGACCTCCAGTTGAGAATGATGGGAAGTCTTCTTTCTCAGGTCTTCTATGAGACCTCCAGCTCTTCTATGAGAAAGAAAAAACTCAGTTTTTCTATGAAAGATAAGACCTCTTGCTATTCTACGAGAAAACAAATCTCCAGTTATTCTGTGAAGATCTCCAACACCTATGAAGAGGACTACCAGCTCTTCTGTGAAGAAGACCACCCGCTTCTATGAAAAGGTAGACCTTCGGATCTTTTTAGAGCACCAGCACTTCTGTAAAGAAAACATCCAGTTTTCCTGTTATAACGAATACCATTTTTTAGGAAGAAGTCTCCAGCTCTTCTATGAAGAGATCTCCAATTTGTTTATGAGGAACATCGTTTTTACTACGAGGAAGAAAATCACCAGTTCTATGAAGAGAAAGACCTCCAGCACTTCTATGAGACAGATCTTCAGACCTCTAAAAGAAAATTAAAAACAAATTCTTATTTATTCGAGCATAAGTTACTTTATTTGTTCATTAGGGCATACACACTTTTTAAAATCTACAATTTTATTTCAATAAAATTCTTGTATTTAAAGCTGCCTTCCATTAAATCATGTTCATAAAACTTAAAAACTATTCTGCTTTGTATGTTCAAAAATATCAAACAAAAAACTCCACCCCTCATTTACCAACGATAATCGTTAATCCATTTTCCAATAATATTCGATTCTCGATCGCGAGCCTGCAACACCGAATTCGGATCTTTAGGATGTTTGGCACGCAAATCCAAATGATGTGCCCCCTCGGGTATAATAATTATGTGAACATAAGGATTATCGGTTTGTAAAACACCACCACCACTCCAGGGATCCAGCAGACCATTACTAAATATGATATTGGTTATTTCACGAACATTTCGTCCACCATAACGCACTGTGATGTCATTCAGTTTCGGTTTTATGTGATATTTTTCCATACATTTATCCGAATACTCTTTGAAATTCCATTCTTTGGGGCGGAACATTGTTTCGGGGGTGGAGCACATAGGCATAACCATTTGATTGCATGTTTGTATATCCCAGGCATCACCACCAATGGAAGTGGGGTCATAGGCTGATCTGTAATCCAAACATTTTGCCGAACCGGTGAAATTGAAATATACATTGATTGCCTGTTGCATACCATCCAAGAGTTTGTCTCCCGTCACCGGCGATTGTAGATATGAACAGAATTGCCGCACAGGATATGGTGGCAGGGGACTTAGAAAATCATTTGCATAGGGGTAATTGGCCATGGCCAAATTACCATAGACATCCTCTAGATAATCAAAGAATTTATTTAGATCTCCTTCGGATTTAATGGGATCACAAAATTTAAAGACCGTATTCAGCTTCTTCTTGCCATCGTCCGAAGAGGCCAGTTGTTTAAATAACTCCCATGATTTGCGTATGTTATCAGCACAGGAACGATTATTAAATGATGTGGCAAATATCGAGGTTGTTATTTTCGCAAAGATGTCACAGGCTGTGAGGCCATCAAATTGACGAACTGGGGCCGAGGCTGCCAAGGCACCATAAACCAAATGAGGATATTTCATACGCAACCAGGCCGACAGCATACCACCATACGAACCACCAAATGCAATAACCGGACCATATTTATTATTTTTCTCCTGCATGCTGGCAATCAACCATGCAAAGTCCTCCAATGCCTGTTCCACACTCAGATAGCCATAATTCTGGGTCAGATTAAAGGTCGCATTGCTAAATGGCAGCGACTTGCCATAATAACGATGTTCGGCGAACACAACACAGGCACGATACTTCTGGGCCAATTCCCACATAAATCCTGTATTCTGGGCAAATGTTTCAATGTCACCTTCATTGCCGGTATAGAAGAACACTGGAATCTTATCTGCCTGTTTATCCACATAGCTGTCATTGATCAGATATCGCAGTTTGAAGCTGGCATTTAGAGCAAAATTGAAATGATCCACAGGAACTTCGATTTCTTTTGTCTCATAGTGATAGGTTTCCGAGCTAGCCGGGGAGATAAGAATCCCCAAGAATAGAAATGAAATTGCGACATTTAATAAAAAACTACTAAAACGCCCCGCTGCTGAACGACGATGACGATCACGACCGACAGTAAACAAAGCCATCATTTTCAGATGAAAGCTGCCGTATGAATGATGAGGTTGAAGATGATAACATAAAGAGCGATCTTTGTTTTGTTCATTTGAACTGGCAAAATCAGGGGTGGCCATAAAGAGGCACGCCGCAGGGAGAATATTGGAATGGAGTGTGTTTTTATAATTTGTATTCAACACCACAGTTGAAAATGATTTTTAATTTATAAGGTTCCATTTAAGTAGTAGACCATAAAATAAACCATACCAACCAGAAACTCCTAAAAATAGCTGCAATCCCTATCAGTGCTGCCATACGGGAAAAATGTTCGATTTCTCAGACCCAAATACAACACTGTTTGGCTTAAATTGAAGTCAACAATTTTTAATCATGTAAAAAATGTTGACCCTTAGAAATCGCTTAAAATCAAAATAGCCAGTCAGATGTTAAGTAATATTTCCAAAAAAAGGAAACCCCCATTTAAAAGTTTTAAAATTTTTAGCGTACATGAGAAATTGGAATCCTGGTATTATTTGTAGATTCTGAAATGCTCACATTTTGTACAATTTCATGTAATTAATGCATCAAAGATGCATTGGTGAAAAATCGACTTTTTATATACCTAAGACTTAAGTCAAATAGGAAATATTTACATTGATAAGATTAACCAGTAAGGAAAGTAGTAAAGTCGGACTGGGCCGACTATATGATACCCTTTACCAATATGGGTATATTATACATATGAATCCTTGAAATTTTGTGTCAATGTTTCCTCGATGGAATATAATCACGTCTTTCTGCAACCTATGATAAATTTAATTTCATTCGGGTAGATTTAGAGTCGTCTGCGTACCATGGGACAAATTTGTGGAAAACAATTTAAAACACAATTGATACGCGCTATTCAGTACGCCGCACAACAAACCCCAATAACGTCATTCAAGTCGAACAAATATTAGGAGTTTTGGCACCATTTATGTTAAATCGGAAGAAAATATATATGGGAGCTATATCTAAATCTGGACCGATTTCCAGGAAACTTAACACACTTCATTTTATACCTAATTCAGTACGCTATGCCAAATTTCGTGCAAATCGAAAAATATATAGGGACTTTGGTGCACCATTTACATAAAATCGGACGAAAAAATATATGGGAGCTATATCTAAAACTGAACTGATTTTCATGAAATTTAACACACATCATTCTAGACCAAATTCATTATGCTATGGCAAATTTCGTGCAAATCGAAAGATATATAGGGACTTTGGAGCACCATTTACATAAAATCGGACGAAAATAGATATTGGAGCTATATCTAAATCTGAACCGATTTTCATGAAATTTAACACACATCGCTCTAGACCTAATTCAGTATGCTATGACAAATTTCGTGCAAATCGAAAGATATATAGGGACTTTGGTACACCATTTACATTAAATCGGACAAAAATATATGGGAGATATATATCTAAATCTGGACCGATTTTCAGGAAACTTAACACACATCATTTTAGACCTAATTCAGTATGCTGTGCCAAATTTCGTGCAAATCGAAAGATATATAGGGACTTTGGAACACCATTTACATTAAATCGGACGAAAATATATATGGGAGATATATATATATATATATCTAAATCTGGACCGATTTTCAGGAAACCTAACACACATAATTCTAGACCTAATTCATTACACTATGCCAAATTTCGTGCAAATCGAAAGATATATAGGGACTTTGGTACACCATTTACATTGGATCGGACGAAACTATATATGAGAGCTATATGTAAATCTGAACCGATTTTTTCCCAATTTCAATAGGGTTCGTCCTTGGGCCAAATTTCATCCGATTCGGATCATAAATGTGACCTGTAATTTGTTTACAATTTAACATGGACAGACAGACGGACGGACATACATAAATCGACTTAAAAAGTGATTCTATGCATATTCTCTCGTTTCCATTTGCCTGTTAAAAACATATGCACAAAGACATAATACCCTGTACCACAGTGTGGTGAAGGGTATAAAAATGTGTCTTCTAGAAATATGGGGTTTAGTTTCGAAGTGCCATTGGATCAAATCCGTTTCAGACCAATTGGATTCTAATTGGAAGTATTGATCGGACTATCGAAGGTGTTACTGGAATCCTCCCATCTTTGCGCTATTGCTATCGATTTGATCCATCAACTGAACATTGTAACTTTTTACCAAACCTTCATTATATCGAAAAATGATATCAAATAATGAATTTATTATTAAAAATGAAGAATATTCTATGTGAGTCAAATATGTTTAAACCAGATCAAGTCCGAAGTCAAAAAATCCGTCTTTATTTCTGAAAACGATCTCACATCTTGATAGTTATAAAAAACTTAGTTCAAGTTCGAAAAAAGGGTCTATAATTCCCCTGTATTTGGAATCTCCCTACAAAATAATCAAATGGTCAACATTTTTATAATAAAACTGGCAAAATGATCGTTAAGATAGAACATGCCTAATGTTTATCCTCAACTATGTGTGCTTTAAAAATTCCTTATACCGATGTAATTTTAAATTGTCTGCTAGTTTTAAAATTTGAATTGTCTGCTAGTAGGTTATTAGGTACCGAATTACTGAGACTCAGGGTGAAAAAACTGTAATAGAAACTATAACATATTAAAAAATAAGTGGGACTATTTTATGACGGATTTGTTAAACATGAATTTAACAAAAATGGGTCGTGATGTTTATAGGGGAAGTTTGTCAAAATATGGACGTATATCGAAAATATTCTTCAGAGATGTTTGGAACAATTAAAAATTTTCGTGGGCCTATTTGTCTGCAAAAAAGTTTTTAATCTTCCGAATTACAACCACCAAAGTAAGAAAATTGCGGTTTCAACTTTTGAAACATTGAAAATTGGGCGGCAATTTTATGTGGTTTTTTAATACATGGACATATTAAGAAAATTTTCTGTAAAAAAGTTCATTACTATCCAAAGATTTTGAGGGCACTGTTATAGTCCATTCAGTTGGAACATACCGAAAATGGGGCGAAATTACACTGATTACAATTTTCTGCGCAGAAGTGTTTTACTACCCAATATGTATGAATGATATTTCGCTGTAAAATACTGAAAATGAAGAAAAATCCTTTATATGAGGTCCATAAAAATTCGTTGACCACCACTACAACCACTTCTGATAGGAAAATGGGTATTAAGCCTTCAAAATACCAACAAATAAGGAACATATTATCCCATTAGCAGTACAAAACATCCTAGGATTAGGAGCAGTGTATGTGCAAAATTTCCAAAGTATATCTTAAATTTATTTCAGGGCTAAATCGACATATAATCTTCTGAGTCAAATCAAGAATGTGTATACTTTTTGGTGATTTCAACGAACATCCGAACGGAATCAACTGTATCAACATTTTCTAATCTGCTAATGTCAATGTTTAAGTCCGGTCACAGATCATTTTGTAATTGTTGTCATAAATAGTTTTAGTTGCTCTGATTACAACGACATATAAATTTATTGTGGAATTAAATATTTCCTGACATATAGTCCACCAAAACTACCGCTGGTATTCTTGTATTTTCCCATGCTTTTTTAAAATTCGCTAAGGCAAAATGATTTTCAATGTTAATCGGCTGATTCCAAAAATATAATTTAAAATTTTTGCAATCAAGACTTCGTCCGCTTCAAATCGATACCCATATTGCTTTAGTGAATTTTAAATGAGGCACAGCCGAGTTTTGAATGCGCACATCTCAGGAAATATGGATTTTTGCAAGAAAAATATAGGTATATCACTGTAATTAGTATCCTTTAGACTTTATGTGGTAAAAATTTCAAAAGTATCTGGGAACATGTCCTACCTCTGACTTGTTTCTATTACAAATTGTTGTTAAATATTTAATTTATGATGGCCCAATCTCACTTGCCAATATATTTGGAATTTAGCTTTACAGAATGTGTATGGGAAAACTACTACCTAATATTTATATAATAATTTTTCTACTTAAATATAGAATTAATACACTTACCGCAACTTGTTATCTTTGCTTGTTGAATTGACTTTGCTGATACTTCTGAACGGGCTCGGTATACCGCTGCTGTGATAATTTATTTGGATCCAAAGTTATACAAAACTCCATCATTCAGCACTCTTATATGAAGAAAAATGCCAGTTAGAGGAAGAAAAAGCTTTTTTGGGGGAAACACAACATGATCAATTTTGTTTCACTGCATTTTTTGTGGTTTGCTGCATTTTTATTTTTTGTCTCAAATACATCCAATAACAAACACTCTTCTTTTTGATCCACTGAGACGACTTTCACTTTAATTCGGTATTAAAAATATAATTAATCAATTGCAAACTGTCATATATATATATTTTTTCGATATTTTTATGATATAATTTAAAAGAAAGAAAAAAACGGAAGAAAGTTTTATTTTTGTCAGAATTGAAATGGAGGGAAAAACAAGCGTTGCCATACACATTACCGTTTGATTAGTTATTGACGTATTGTAATGTAATACCATCAGCTGATTTGACAATACACGATGGCATCTAAAACTAGAACGTATGTCATTTATTGTTTATACTTGTTGGTTGTGATAGATAAGTTTCTTTAAAATGTGAAAAACTTTGTAAGGGTATATATTTAACGCTTATTATCAAGTAAATAAGGCAGATAACCCAATAATTAGGTCTAAAGTAGCAACAAAATATAAAAAAAATATTTTTATATATGTAAATGCAAAAAAAGGCCATAATGTGCGGTAACACAGTCCTAATTCCTGAGAACAACAAAGAATCGACATATTCGGATCTTCGGTAACACTTTCACTTACAACGGCGATATTTTCAGCGGAAACAGCGAAGCGAAGATGTACAGACCGTTCCAGTATCATAAAATTTGCCAATTGCTTGCCTAGTTGGACGATTGTGTAAACTATGATCTCCTCTTAAAGCACTATACGTTTATGTGGAAAACTCGCCATTTCAATAGTAGATTTGGTAATTTTGATGCGTTGT